TTGGTGCAGTGACTATGTATATCCCTTTCAACTTCTTTTGATGCTTTCTGCATCATTCAGTATTTGCCCATAGAAACCTTCAATATTTTAATTCAAGGCTTGAAATTTTTCGTCAGTTCTTTAATTGAAAATGCCAAGCATATTCTTCCCTTTTGCTTTTCTAACTCCTGATATTTGCAAGTTTCATTATATTTGGCTTTGTCTTCTTAAGGTGCCCTTTGAAATTTTCTGCTCACTGGAATGTGGGTAATTCAAACCCACCAGTTAATCCTCAGAAGTCCTGTACAAGGTCACTAAGAATTGGAACTGACTCAACAGCATTTAACAACAACATGGAAACAATATTGGATGATAATGCAAACATCAAAAGAAGATGGAAGGAATACTAACTAAGTCATGGTAACAAAAAGAATTGATCGATGTTCAACTATTTTAAGAGGTACCATATGACCAAGAACCAATGGTACTGAAGGAAGAAGTCCAAGCATCACTTATGACATTGGCAAGAAACAAGGCTCCAGAAATTGATAGAATACAAACTGAAATGTTTCAGCAAATTGATAGTGCATAGTTTTCTATGCCAAGAAACTTGGAAGACAACTACCTGACCAACTGATTGTAAAAGATACATATCTGTGCCCATTCCAAAGAAAAGTGACCCGACGGAATGCGGATATCATTAATATTACATACAAGTGTAAATCGAAGCAAATTAAAATTTTGATGAAGATCATTAAACATTATTGCTGCAGTACATTGACAGGGAGCTGCCAAAAATTCAAGCTGGAGTCAGAAGAGGTCATGGATGTAAGTAAGGATATCATTGCTGATGTCAGATGGGTGTTGGCTGATAACAGAAAATAACAGAAAGATGTTTACTTGTGATTTACTGATTATGTAAAGGCATTCTACTGTATGGAACATAAAAAAAATTGTGGATAACAATTAGAAGAATAAATATTCCAAAACACTTCATTGTGCTCATTAGGAACCTGTATACAAACCAAAAGGCAATTGTTACAACAGAACAAGGGGATACAGAATGGTTAAAAATCAGGAAAGGTGTGTGCCAGCATTGTATTATTTTGCCATACTTATTGATATCATGTTTGGTAAGGTGGCGGGTCAGAGAAAAAGAGGAAGACCCTCAGAGAGATGGATTGGCAAAGTGGCAGCAGCATCAGTAGGCTCAAGCATGGCAACAATAGTGAGGTTGGCCCAGGATGAGGCAGTGTTTTGTTCTGCTGTGCATAAGGTCGCTATTGAGTCGGTAGCAACTCAATGGCACCTAACAACAACAACAATTCAATCTGTATTATCAGCAAATACTCTGAGAAACTGTATTATATGAAGAAAAGTGTGGCCTTTCTTGCTGGAAGTAAAAAGGACTTGAAATAACTATTGATGTTATGCACCTCAACAGAAAGAAAACAAAAATCTTCACAACTGGACCAATAAATAACATCGCAATTAATGAGAAAACATTGAAGCTTTCAAAATTTTAATTTGCTTGGATATACACTCAATCCTCATGGAAGCAGAAGTCAGGAATTCAAAGGATGTATTACGCATTAGGCAAATCTACTGCAAAAGACTTCTTTAAAGTGATAAAGAGCAAAGATGTCACTTTGAGGACTGTCTGACCCAAGTCATGATATTTTCAAAAGCCTCATATGCATGTGAAAGTTGTACAATGAATAAGGAATACCACAGAAGAATCAATACATTTGAATTACAGTATTGGAGAAGAATATTTAAAGTACCATAGACAGCTAGAACCAACAAATCTGTCTTGGAAAAAGTACAGCTAAAGTGCTCCTTAGAAGCGAGTATTGTGAGGCTTTGTGTCTAGATATATTATCAGGAGAGATCAGTCCCTGGAGAAAGACATCATGCTTAATTAAGTGGAGGGGAGCAAAAAAGAGGAAGACCCTCAACAAGATGGACTTATACAGTGGCAGCAACAATGGGCTCAAACATAACAATTGTGAGAATGGCGCAGGGCCAGGCAGTGTTTCCCTTCCATTGTGCAGAGGGTCACTATGAGTTCGAACAGACTGAACAGCACCTAACAGCAACTACTGTAGAAAATTGGAAGTCATTCATGTGGTTTTAAAGAAGTGTGTAACATCGGCAGATATGAGTTTTAGAAAATTTCTTCTGATGGTAGAGAAAATAAGGGATAGGAATATTGTCAGGGCAGACTGTTCAAGACAGTTTAGTTTTCCTTCACCACACGCTTTTTGTCACAGTAAGAAACGGGGAGGGGAGACTCTATAACAGAATCTAGTAACCAATTGAATATGGGGGTTATAGGCAAAGAAGAATGTAGACTAACTATAATTTCTGGTTTAGATTATAATATGGACCAATAAATAATATCACGGTAAATGAGGTAAAGACCGACGTCAAAGACTTCATTTTGGTTGGATACACCAATAACATTCATGGAAAAAGCAGTCAAGAAATCAAAGGACATTATTGCATTAGGCAAATCTGCTGCACAAGACCTCTTTAAAGTAATGAAGAACAAAGATGTCAGTTTGAGGACTAAGGTGTCCATGACCCAAGCCATGGTATATTCAACAGCAATAAGTGCATGTGAAAGTTGGACAATGAATAAGGAAAACAGTAGAAGAATTGATGTATTTGAGTTATGGTGTTGGAGAGGAATTTTAAAGGTACCATGGACTGCCAGAAGAACAAATAAATTGTTGCTAAAAGACCTAGAACCAGAAAGCTCCTTAGAAGCCAGGATTACAAGACTTTATCTCTCATACTTAAATATGTTATCATGATGGTCCTGTCCCTGGAGAATGACATCATGCTTGGTAAAGTAAAGGTCAACTAAAATGAAGACCCCTAACAATATCGACTGGCACAGTGGCAGCATCAGTGGGCTCAAGCATAACAATTATGAGAATGGTGCAAGTGTTTCGATCTGCTATACATAAGCTACTATGATATCTCACTGTGGCCTAACCCAGTTTCTCCACAGTCTGGCTGAAAATTGAAATGTAATCAAAGCTTGAGTAGAGATGAAATCTACCAAGGGGGAAATGTATAGAATAAGAAGCAAAAGTGATTAGGGAGGGCATCTCAGAGATATGGAATTTAAAAAGCAGGGAAAGCCCGTGAAAAGGGGAGAGAATGAATGACCATGAACTTCACTTGTCACAAAAAGACTAAGTAAAATAATTGTTGAAAAGCAATGACTGGATTTGGCAATTAAAAGGCCATTAAAATTTTAAGCAAGAGTAATTTCATTGAAGCCATCAGAGAGGAAACTAGACCATAGTGCCGAGGATCAAAGTCAAAAGGCAGAAGTTGATCCAAGTGGAAATACTATACTTTCAAGAAGTTTACTAATAGATAGGTGGAGGATTAGATAAACACAGGATGAGGAAAGCGATTTTGTTTTATTTTCATTTTCTTAAAATATGGGACTCGACCACATTTAAATATGAGGATGGGGATAAAAACACAGGAAATGAAAAAAGGTAACTAGAAACAAAATGTTTACTAATGGATAGGAGGGAATGATATCAAGAACAAAAATGAATGATTGTTCTTCAACATGTCTTTCTCTGAACTAGAAATGCAATCCTGAAGGATGTGTAAAAATATAGAACACTCTGTGGGTTAGGACATGAAATGGTCTTTTAGACTCCATCATCTACTTAGAAAGGAGAAAGGGAAGGAGAGATGCACATCTGGTGACAGCCATATATCCTCGTGTGGTACTCAAAAGTGCTTAAAATATTTGGTGATTAAATGAATTAACTAGATCGCTGGTGTTCTCATATATGTGGATAAAATCACCTATACAGTCTTTTTGGAAATGCTAATGCCCTAGTCCCTGCCCTACTAATTTATAATTTAGGGACTGAAGCTGAGGCAAGTAAATTATCAAGAAGCTCTCCAAGTCAAAGTGGCAATCTGTTAAGCAACTCTCTTCTATCCAGTTGAAGGTAATCAACTGGATAGAAGAGAGTTGATACAAAGTGCAGCAATTATCAAATGTCTCTTAACAACAACCACAACCAAGTGTGGGACTGTGCTCTGCCACTCAAACGAGCAAAGCTTCCAACATCTAGTGACATTCGGAGCCATACTGAGACAGACACAATGACCACCATAGCACTCCCTTAATGAAGTACGCTAAGATGAAGCAAGAGCTTGAAAATGCAATGATGTACATGCTTGTTCGAAATAATGCTTTAATTTATGCTCTAAAACCCTTAGACTTTCTGGTACATTACTGTAGAATCTTAGCAGTATCCAAGTGGAATTTGGGTGTTTGAAGAAATAGGAAGAGCAAGGAAATTCCAAGAAACTACCGGAATGAGAGAGACAATGGAGAGAGAGTGGAAGGGGCCTGGACGACTAAAATTGAGTGTCCATATGTTACCATAACATGGAACGCTGTGAAACCAAGAGCCCGGAATCACTGTTTTGGCCTGCCTGTTACTCACCATTGTCTCAGGACTTCAGTAGAAGTAACTAGGTATCCTTGCGACAGGAAGACACCACCACCAACACCATCACACGGTTACTCCGGCAACAGAGTCCCGCCCACTGCCGGACGCACGTTTAAAAAAAAACTTACCGCCCCGCCCCCTCGTCAAATTTCGTGATCTTAGTGGCTGGGAATTATCTCAATTCCACCCACCCACTACACAGACCCTCCCCTTTACTCCGTCGCCTGGACGACAGAACGCCACATTCTGCTCGCCAGCGTCATCACTTCCGTTTGGTTGGCAGTTGACCTGGAAGGTTAAGGAAATATACTCTCGGCTTATAAACATTGTTATATTTTACTTTTAAACAAATTTCTATCTAGTTTTCATTTACTGAGGCCTTATACCATATTAATGTTCGCTGCTCCTTTCGTTTAAACACATCATAGAACGTTCTCTTAGGGTAAAGGATTCCGGAAGTGAAACCCCTTGTAATAGGAAATGACTGAGTGAGCGAGCAGTTTGCCATCAGGACAGTTTGGGCGGGTCAGCTTGGGAATGGAAGCAAAGTACGCGGAGAAGTTAAACCGGTGATACCGAGCCGGAGAATCTGTAAAGAGAAGCCTTCTGATATAAGGAGAGGAATAATCTTAGAGGTAAGTCCGAAAACGGGTTTATTTAACTAAGTGAGTTGTTGGAGAGAGACAGAGGTCTGGGTTCGAGTTTAGCGTCCAATCGCTTTGGATTCAAGGAAAAGTGTTCCCTCTTGTGCCGAGGACTTTTTAGACAGGGACAAAACTACTCAGTTCGACTTCCCAGTACAGCCAATTTTTACAAGTTTACTGCTTCCATACCAGCCACTTTACACTTGTTACCTGTGTTTCCCACTCCCTCTACCTTCTCTTGGTATTTGCTGCTGGAAACACTCCTTGTACTTGACATTTTCACAGCCCATCTTTCGAGAATGGTTTCAGGGATTGTTGCTCTGACCAGTGGGTCTTTGGATTTTTCAAAGCAATAAAGTATAAGTGAAGAGGGTTTGTGACTGTTAAGATAGTTAACCATGGGACTCATTGTGCCGAGTATTGAGTATTCAGCCTGATAATTTTTGTGACAACAACGTAACCAGATTAATGTCACTGCATAGTAAGTATCACCATTTTCCTGCCCTGCTTCAGTGAGTCGTTGAATCTAAACCGTAAGGCCATGCATACACACATTTCTGATAGCATATACTCACAATATGCTTTATTTTACAGTTAAAAACTACACTAGTTTAATTTTTCCACCAAGTGCAAAGTTAGTTACCTTGTGTAATATTTTTGTTGTTTCATGATGGAAAACGGCTTTGCACCAGTTTCGAAATTAGTTGTGGGTAACTAGGCAAAAAGATATTCAAATTATCCATTTATTTCACGGAAAGGTTGTTGTTGTTGTTAAGTGCCACCAAGTCGCTTCCGACTCATAGTGACCCTGTACAGGGTTTTCAGAAGTAGCTGGTAAGTTTGAAACACCCACCATGCTGTTCAAACCGACCTTGAGGTCGAGTGCTTATCCTACAGCGTGATCTTTAACCTGAGACATTAGCAGTAAACTGTTCCTTACAGTCCTTAACAGTTAATGCTTGCTAAATATTTAAATAGAAGTTGTTGTTGTTAAGTGCCATCGAGTTTGTTCTGACCCATAGCGACCCTGAACAGGGTTTCCGAGGCTGTAAATCTTTACGGGAGCAGAAACCTCGTCTTTGTTCTGCAGATCAGCCGGTAGTTTCGAACTGCTGACCTTGTGGTTCGCAGCCCGATTCGTAACTACTATGCTAAATGGAAACTGCTCTCTGATTATTAGGGCAAGTCAAAAGGTATTACTATTAAGGCTCTAATTCATGTTTAAACACGCCTCTGAGGTCAGTGGATGATTGCAGACAAGTTCTTTCAGTAATGCGCTTGTCTTAGTCACATTACAGTGCTTTCCAAAAAAAAAGGTCCAATCAAAACGGGTTTCTAAGGGGATCTGCTGGGCCAGTTAATTTCAAGGTAGAGAAGTCAGCTCAGAAAGTTATGGTGACTGTTTTTGGGGGGTGGGAGGATGGCTTCAAAAGAAATAATGTTTTTTATTATTATATGTTAATGACACAGGAGATCATGAGGGCTTTTTAGGAAGAATTATTATTATTATTATTATTATTATTAAAAACTACATTTGTGGGGAAAAGGCCAGAAATTTTTTTTTCCATCACAACAGTTCACCTGCTCATTTCTCGAGGGTAGCGAAGACTGGCCTGCAAGAATTTTGTTAGGAAACTCTGTCCCATTTCCCTATTGCCCTTGCCCCTCCAGAGTTCTTTTTGTTTCCCAAGCTCAAACATTTAAAAAGAACACAAGGTGCATACCACAAGCTTGCTGAAATTGCCATCTTGACATGGTATAACGTGAATTCTTTGGAGACGGGCTTGATATACGGAGACACTGCCTTGAGAAGTATGTATTTTTTGTTCAGTAAAGGTCTTCATGTTTTTTTAGCCATACATTCTTACTTATTCTCATTTACTGAAACAAATTTATGTCAAAAATACCTTTTGATTACTTTGATAGCCATAATAATGCACATGAGACGGAACTATGACCACTTCCATTCCAAACCTTATGTACTAAATGTAGAAGCCATTAGAATGTCATGTTTAAGTCAGAGGCACTTGGTGACTGTGGTGTATGATGGTTGTTTTTGTTAATTTCTTATTTATACATCTTTAGATTTTTCAGCAGAAGTCTTGGAGTGCATTAACATTGCTTAAGAAAAAAAAATGACTACTCTTGAATGTTTAGAAACCAATGGTAAGTGTTCTTTTGATAATAATTGCTTTTAAAACATGAAATGTATGACAATGTGAAAGGATATTTGAGCCAAGTCATTAAATTTATAGCCCTTGAGAATCACTCATGTCTCTTATTTTTCCATGATTATTTTGTACTGCAGTGTTTACATTTCAGAACTTCAGATATACAATTAATATTAACATCATTAGGTAATGTTTATTAGATAACTACTCTCTCTAAACATTCACTGTAAAAGCAAAGTTTTACAGTTATATTCTCTATACTCTAGAAGATTAAGATTTAAATAAACAGCAATTTATTTTTTTAAAGATTTAGATTTACAAACAGCTAGCAGATCTCTAAAACCTTCTTGCTAAATACAGTTGTCTTTTTAGTCCAGCCTGGCTTAGCCTCTCTATAGCTTCAATACTATGGACTTGCTCCTCCTTTTCAAATGCTTTCTTTTCACTGCTTCCACGACACTGGTGGTAATGGTGGTGGTAGTATGCCATGGAGTTGGTTCCTATTCACAGCAACCCTTAATAGGGTTTCCATGGCTATAAATCTTTATGGGAGCAAAAAACTTCATCTTTCTCCCACAGAACAGCTGGTGGATTTGAGCTGCTGACCTTACAGTTAGCAGCCCAATGCATAACCCACTACCCTAACAGGGCGCCTTTTCATGACACCAGTCTTCCTATTTTCAGCAGTCTTCAGCCCCTCACTGTCCAATGCAGTAGCCATATGTGGCTATTTGAATTTAAATTGATATTCTTTAAAAATGAACAATTCAGTTCTGCTTTCTGACCAGCCAGCTTTCTGTGTTCTATACCCACATGTGCTTAGTGATGCTGATATTGGAAGGTACAGATCTCCAGCAGCCCATTACTGAGAAAGTGTTATTTCACAGCACCTCTCTAGCTATGCCTGCTGTTTCTTTTCAGCCTCCTTCCTTCAGGTTCAACCTTTAAATATCAGCGCTTTTCCAGCCCCCTTTTTAACTCTTCAGCCTTTTGTTTCTCCTCCCAGGGCTTCAGTGAATCTCTATAGGCATCCACATCTAACAGTAGCCTAGTTCTCCTCCCCTGTGATTCAACTCTTCAGAGCCTGCTGCCTATAGGCCATCTTCACATAGGCATAGGCAACAGTCTCACGTACCCCAAAGTGAACTTCTCCTGACCCAGCTCACTTTTATGGAGTGAATTCTGGAGGTTGGAGCCATCAGTGAGAGATGGAAAACAGTTCCTAGAAATTGGTTTTATTGCAAGCTGACCTCCAACAACAAACTCTCTAAGAGGATTAAAATTTGTTTAGGAAACAAGAAAGAAAAGATCATGCCAGTAAATATTCAATTGAATTTAATCCAGCTATGTTTCTTACATAAATAAGTAAACCAGAGACCATAAAGGAAAGTAGTAAACTGAGGATTAATGGGAAATAAGAAGAATTGAATTGTAACTAAGGTTACAGTTAAAAATCAACTCAGCAGCACCTAACAACAACAACATTAAAGCAACTAGCATTGATGCGTGGCAAAAAGCCTAATTAATTTACATAATATGATTAGTAATTAAAAGTTATTGCTAGGCCTCTGAAATTGAATTATTTTTCATTGTTGCTACTATTTGTAATGAGGATTAAAGTTACAAAATGCTTTCATATACATTATTTTATGTGATCTTAATGATCTAATAAGGAAAGTAGGCCACTGTTAGTCCCATCTGCTCTTAATATAATGTTAACTAGTGTTACTAGTGAACAACACAGGTGTTTGTATTGTATAGCCTGAACGAAGGCATTGACATTTATTTTGGTGGACATTTACCTGTACTTCCTGTAACTGCCTCAGAAGAGAAACAAGATGTTGTTTGGTTAGTAGCCATAGAATTTCCTCAAATGTCTTATGACATTTGAGCAATACTGTCATCATGACAGGGATGTGTCATTGCTGCATGGACTGTTTCTACAAGGGAAGCAGGTGGTTGTTGTTAAGTGCCATTGAGTCAGTTCTGACCCATAGCCACCCTATATAGGGTTTTTAAGGAGCAGCTGGTGAACTTGAAGCTCTGACCTTGTAGTTCAAACGGACTTTGCAATCCAGCGCATTAGCCCACAGTGCCACACCGTACAGCATATAAAAACTCCAGACGTAAAATGCAAAGCTTGTCTTGGTTGTAAGATTAAAATTAAAGATATTAAAGTCATAGAGTGTAGGGAAAGCAGACCAGCTGTGAGGTCTGATACATTTAAATGGACTTTTTACATAAATATTCAAATATTTCTTTATCGTTTCATGAAACAGTCTAACTTTAACCCTAATAGGTACTAGATGAGAAAACATTCTGTTGGCAGATGAATTTGGGAAATGGTAGATTACAGGCAAGATAATAGTACAGGACTTCCCAGAGATGAGTGTACTAACAGACTGTGAAGTTCCTAAAAAGAGATGGCCATGTTTATTTTAACCAGTGAACTCTTTATTCATGGGAAATGTGGCAAGAAGAATGTTTAGATTCTAATGAGTAAATGTTGATATAACATTGTAGTTGATCTTTCTAATTTAATAATAAGTAAACTTTATTTATTGATAGTACTTGTTAAGTGTAGTCAAGTGACCCTATCTAGGGTTTCCAAGGAGTAGCTGTTGAGTTTGAATTGCTGATCTTGTAGTTAACAGTCCAGTGCTTATCTGACAGCACCATACCAGAATCCCTAGATGTTACTGATGGTGGTGGTGATGTGCCATGGAGCCAGTTCCGACTCACAGCATCCATGTATAAGGTTTCCAAGGCTGTAAATCTTTCTTCTGAAAAGTTTGACAGACTTTACCTGAGTTAGGAATTCTTTGGTGTAGGGGCGGGGGGGGGGTGGGGAAACTAAGTGTTTTTTAGATGCATTCATTCTTGGATGTTAAAATGACATCTTCTAGATAGTATGCTAACAGATTGATGAACGTCTTTAAGCATTTATTTATCTTTCCTGTATCCTGCACCAGTTCTTCTACTGGTGATAAAAAGATTGGAAGGAGGCAGTCCCAGCCCTGTTGACCTTTCAACAGTTTAATAAAAGAGAGAAACAAATTATTTTAAAATATTATAAATTTTTTCATTATTCTGAAAACACTATGGGATAGAAGAACAGTGAGGCTTAGGGACATGCTCAAGGTCATTCAATGAGTAGCAGTAGGAACTTAACACTTAGTTATTTTGACTCAAAGGTTGTTACTATTTTCACTATATCACCCTATGAATTAGAAAACATACCATAATAGATTTATCATTTTGTGAATAAAGGAGACATGCTTGTTTAATGACAGACTATAAAAGCATATTCATTTTACTTCAGTGTTCTCGAACAATGCTCACCAAATTACGGCCTTCAGTCCTGCTAGCTGAGAATGTTTGCAGTCAGTTTGATGATCAGGAGCACTAACTCTTTTTTTAACTTTTTTAAACAATCTTTTATTGTGAATTGAGTGAAGGTTTTAGACAGGATCATCAATTTTACATTAAAAAAAACCACGCACTTAGTTTCCTCTCAATGATTGCAATCCCTTCCATGCGACAACAGGTATCCTGCTTCCTCCCTATGCTTCTTGTTTGCATTCTACCCACATTCCCATCTCTTCTCAACATGGTCTTTAGGAAAATTTGCCCTTTTGATCTTGAATGATTGACAGTTCTATGATGAGCATAGCTCACTAGTGTTGTCTCTCCTGTATACCTGTCTACTGCTTGGCTGAAAATTGGGCCATGAGCATTGAGTGGTCAAGGACCCTAGTCTCAGGTTCCTCATTTCCTTCTGACCAATAAGCCTGTTATATTGTAATTTTGAGTTTTGTTCCACATTTTCTGCCACTCTATCCAGCAGAAAGTGTGATCCCTTTCAGAGCAGTTGGGAGTGGTAGCCAGGCACCATCTAATTCTTATGGTCTCAGAGTCAAGGTGACTGATAATCACATACTCCATTGGTCTGATGGACTAGTTGATTCCAATGGAACATTGACTTCAGACCCCTGGTAGAGAAGCATTATTCCAAAACAAAAAGAATTCCATTCTTATTAGACGTATATTACCAAAAAAAAAAATTTATTATTTTATTTTCAATTCATTAATAAAAATTTGTAGAAATATACCTTCTCTCTTGTTCTATAAATTCTACATAGCATCCTTGATTTAGGGCACCGGTGTGGTGCCAGAGGATAAGCACTGGGCTGGTAACCACAAGGTCAGCAGTTCAAACCCCCCACCAGTAGCTCTCAGAAATCCTATACAGGGTTGCTATGAATCAGAACCAACTCAATGGCACTTAACAACAACAATTCTTGATTTTGTCTCTAGGACTATAAAGCTTAAAGTATTTACTTTATGACTCTTTGCAGAAACAGTTTGCTGTTATTCTAGTGTTTGACTCGTTTGTAAAAATGGTGCAAGGAGCCTGTGAACTCCTCTAACTTCACAAAGGGGAGGAGTCAATATCAGCTGCCCAAGGCTGATAATTGCTGTGGTGTGGTGGAGGTCTGTCAGCTCCTCTCTCCAACCTTTTTTTAAATTATTGTTATTTTTTTATTTGAAGGGATAGAAGTAAGGGGTTAGGGTTAGGACTGTGGCAAGGGGTAGAACTTTGCTTAGTGTTAAGGTTATGGGTAGGGATTAGGCTAGGGCTAGGAGTAGGGCTTTCTCCAGTCTTTCTATCAGTGTTTCAAACCAAAATTTTTTCTACTCCAATTATTGTTCTGGTTAACTGAAATTTTAAAAACTGAATTCTGTTCTGGTTTCATTTCATCACCATGACTTGTCTTGTAGTCTCTGGTCTCAAATTTATAATCTACAAGTAGATACCTGAAACAGTTTCTTTGTATTACAAATAAGATTGCATTTTTATATTAACTAGAAAATTCTGGTGTGGCACTGTGGGTTAATGCGCCAGATTGTAAAGCCATTTGAACTGCAAGGCCAGCAGTTCAAGCTCACCAGCTACTCCTTGCAAATCCTACCCAGGGTCACTATTGGTCGGAATCAACTTGACAGCACGTTAAGAACAACAGAAAATTCCAAATTTTTGTAATTCATTTTGAAAGTAGAAATATTAAACAATTTTTCTATACATTCAATATTAATTAAATTTGGTGACAATATGTTCATTTTAATCACTGTCTCAAAATATTTCAATAACAAGAAAAACGTAATATATATATATATATATTATTTCCCCTTAAATCTGTGTTTTAAAATATATTTGAAATGACTGCAGTACAAAGTCTAGGAAGTTCATAGCGCAGGGACCTCACGTCAAAGGAAGCACTTTGCTCCTATCTCCTCTTGATGGCAGTGAGATCCCTCCCTGCTGCCTCTGGGATAGCTCATTTTAAGCCTAGAAGAATGAAAGAATTGATCATTCCCCTCAGTAGGGTTCCATACACCTTATTTTAGTTCTAATATATCTCATTTGTATAATACATTGTAGCGTCCTGGTGGGTTAATGCGCCAGACTGCAAAGCTATTTGAACTGCAAGGTCGGCGGTTCAAGCTCATCAGCTGCTCCTCGAAAACCCTATGACGAGGTCTCTAAGAGTCGGAACCAACTCAACAGCACTTCACAACAACAACCCCTACAAATGTGCCATGCATCTTACATGCTTTATCAGCAAGATATCCTATCCTCTGCGTGAACCACAAATACCCCTTTTGCATATTCCCAATCATTTGGTGGAATTTACGAGACCATAGCCAAAAAGGGTATATAAAAGCATTCCATCACACCATGTGTTGTTGTTGTTAGGTGCCACAAGGCGGTATCGACCCATAGCGACCTATGCACAGCTGAACGAAATACTGCCCGATTCTGGGCCAACCTCACTACTCTTGCTACGCTTGAGACCATCGATGCTGCCACTTGGCCAATCCATCTCGTTGGGGGTCTTCCTCTTTTTTCTGACCCTCCACCTTACCAAACATGATATCCTTCTCCAGTGACTGGTCCCTCCTGACAATACTAGTGCCTTTTGTTCTTTCCATTTTTTACCCAATCTTGGGGAAGACAATTAGAATCATGAACCTTAGATGTGCTTTAATTCTATGGTAAGTGATCATAGGTTAAAGAAATGTTGATGAATATTTTGAGAACTGTTTTGTTGGTTCCTTTCAAAAGGTGGAGAAGAAAAGGGGTTGATGTTTTGCATTACTTAAGCATGGTTCATAATTAAGGAGCTGGTCCATAGATCATTATCTTCCCACATAAAAGGAGGTAATTGCTCTTGAATGTGTCCTGGATTGTGCCTAGAGCATAGATAATAAAGGTTTCTATGTGTGTCACAAGAAAAAATAGAATTGTGAAAATTTAAATTACTAGGTGAGAAAATAAATGTAAATCCCTGGTTCTCACTGCATGTTTGCCTATATACATTAACTAGTATAACTTTGGATATTTGTAAATGGCTGAGTGAGTAGAACAGCTGAAATTGTTTTTCAATAGGGTTGAAAGCAAATTGGGATTTGAAACAAACTGAACTTCTTCCTTGAATTTTACACTGGTGCATTTTGTTTGAAAAGAGATTTCTGTTAAGTACCTATCAAGGTTTCTTTGCCCTTTAAATTCACATTAAACATTTTTGTGAGTTCTTGAGGTTCCATGACCTGAAGTTCTGATTTGAAAATGTTATAACTTGCCTCTTTAGAAAATCCTGGATTTCCTGTTGAACCAGAACAGAAGCATCATACTTATTGCTTCACCTTCTGTGGGCCTGAATGGCATGGCTCTAGTTTTTAGTTTATAATCCATAGTTAACACAGGGTTTTCTATTACTTCTTAAATGTCAGAATATTTTATTAACAAAATTAAATTTACATTAGATAGAGTTAGACAAACTTAAAGCCAGATTTCAGAAACATCAGAAACCTTTATGCTTAAAACAAGTCAGTAGAAATTTCCCTTGTGAGTACTAATGTGCTACTGCATGGTTTTAATTAAGCTACCAACACTTTCATCCCACTTTCTGAAGTATTCATTAGTTCATCTTCTTGAAAGTAGAGTCCCAAACCCCAAGAGGTATTTCAATTTACATTTCATGTACAAATGACAAAATATTTTATGAACTAAAACACATTGATTATACCCCATATGTTGTTCTACATCCTGCCTAACATAACTCAGGATTCCCAGTATATTGTTACATGCATACACAGAGTAAAAAAGATTTAAAATAAATAGTCCTATCGTCTGATGCTGTGGTAACATGTTGTTGTTGTTGTTGTTAAGTGCCGTCGAGTCGGTTCAAACCCATAGCGACCCTGAACAGGGTTTCCGAGGCTGTAAATCTTTACAGGAGCAGAACACCTCATCTTTCTCCCATGGAGCAGCTGGTAGTTTCGAACTACTGACCTTGCGGTTCGCAGCACGATTTGTAACCACTACGCATCTAGCTGCTAATCTCACTGTCAGTTTTTACTCCTGTAAAGATTGACAGCCTCGGAAACCCTGTGCAGGGTGGGTCCCTGTGAGTCGGAATCAACTCCACAGTACTTAACACAACAAATAGTCTGATGACAGCTTTAGAATAAAAGAATAAAACTCAGAAATGTGTTTTGTGGCATTAAATAAGCTTTCTTCCCCTCCCTAATAAAATTTCCTAATAAAGATCCAGAGCTTATTAGAAATTTTTATAAAGAAGAAAGGCAACTAAGAACTAACATTTAATGAGCACTTACAGTACCAAACATCATTCTAAATATTTTGCATGTATTTTTATTTAAGTGCTTCATTAAATCATAGGTATTCATATTTATGCAAGAAGTAAATAGAATTAATTAAGGACACACAGAATAGGTCTGATACATCAGTAGAGTCATTTTGGGGGGTAGTTTGACGATATAGATCTTCACCAGATATAATAATGGCTATGTTTGGGAATGTATCCTAAATCATTCAAAAGCTGAGAAAAATCTGTCGACATAAAAAAATTCACAAATGCATTATTTATTATAATGAAAAATTGGGAAGAGTATACAATATCCAACATAGCCTTCCTCCTAGAATTTCCCTTTTAAAAAGAAAAAATATGAAACCTAGCACCAAAAAAAAGTTGAACGCCTCTACAGGGAATGGGGAACCAATAAAATAATTTGAGTATGCTATGGGAAAATGGACTCCTGGGGCAGCACTGTATTATTAGTACTAGACTGCAAACCCTGAGATCAACAGATCAGACTACTCTCTGGAGACCCCACAGAGGGTCATTCTGAGTTGGAATGGCTTCAATGGCACTTAACAACAGCAACAATGGTAAAAATGAGACCGGAAGAAGTTTAATCTGGCAACACAATGCAGTTTGATTTGTGTAATGAAGGATATAAGTAACACTTTTAAACCTAAGAATAGGGTTGAATCTTTTCCTAATCACTTCTCAAGTGTAACGTATGATACTTTCCCCTTACCCTCTGCAAAGCATTTTTTGCCAAGAGTTCACAAGAACATTTGAGTCATTTTGAGGTTGTTGTCGTGTGCCATAGTGACCATTGTATATGGTTTCCGAGGAGCAGCTGGTGAGCTTGAAACACCAACCTTGTAGTTCAAATGACTTTGCAGCCCAACACATTAACCCACAGTGCTACACTAGTGTGTTGGTGCTGTTGTTGAGTGCTGTCAAGTTGATTCCAACCCATAGCAACCCTGTATAGGGTTTCCGAGGAGCAGCTAGTGGGCTTGAACCACCGACCTTGCAGTTCAAACGACTTTGCTGTCTAACACATTAACCAACAGCGCCACACCAGCTGGTTGATTGATTTTTGTATTTAACTAACATGATTGTCTATAGTGTACCAGGAACTTGATATTGTTGCATTTTTCCTATGACAGCCCTGTAGCAGAGTTGTTACTATCTCCATTTTGCATGTTGGGAAATGGGTTCCTGGTGAATTAAATATTTACTCCGAGTCATACTAGGATGTAGAAGTTATTATAGAAATAAAATCATCTGATTTCAAATCTCTTAAATTTTCCACTAAGAGAAAGCATTTGCTTCAAGAAATTAACCCGTTAAGACTTTAGATGATATGTGCATGTTTTAAACATTACTTTGGATTTTTTTTCTATTCTTTGGTGTTTTTCGAGTTGTTTTAGTATCAGTGGTTCTGAAAGTAGGATAAAGCACATCTTGGCACTCATTTTTTCATTAAGTAGTTCACGTTGTGTTTCTCTTTGTTAGCCACCCTTACTTCGACCCCAATCCGAGGAGCAGGAGATGGAATGGAAACTGAGGAGCCACGTAAATCTGTTGAAATTAGTTCTGGTGTCCAGTCCATAAAGCATTCCATCCGTCAGAGTGCAAGGAAGAAACCATTTGCCTCAGAGAGCCCAGGAGTTCTTCAGCTAGGGAAGATTCTCAATGAAAAAGCAGTGGAAGTTGAAGCTGTAAGAATATTAGTTCCCAAAGCTGCTATAACCCATGATATCCCCAACAAAAATGCAAAGGTTAAGTCTCTGGGGCATCATAAAGGAGAGTTCCTTGGTCAGTCAGATGGAGCTATGGAACCTAGGAAAGAACTGTCTGAGGTGAAGAATATATTGAAAAAGCTCAAGAATTCTGAAAGGAGATTACTGAAGGACAAAGAAGGTCTTTCAAACCAGCTCCGAGTTCAGACAGAGGTAAGAACAACCTTAACAGCTTTATGAGCATTACTCTTCCTGGCGTGGCGCTATAGGATAAGCACTCAACCACAAGGTCAAACTCACCAGCTGCTCCTTAGAAACCCTATACCAGGGTCATTATAAGTTGGAATCGACTTGACAGCAACGAACAGCAACAACAACAACAACTCTTCCGTTAGACTCCTGGTGTGGTGCTGTAGGATCAGCAATGGACTGTGAAACCAAAGGTCAACAGTGCAAACCCCCCAACTACTCCTTGGAAATCCTATACAGGCTATGAGTCAGAATCAACTTGACAGCACTTAACAACAACAACTCTTCCTTTGGAGCCCTTGGTGTTAAGTGCTGTCAAGTCGGCTCCAACCCATAGCAACCTGTATGGGTTTCCAAGGAGTGACTATTGAGCTTGAACCGCTAACCTTGCAGTTCAAACTGATCTTGCAGTCCAGTATATTAACCCACAGCATCACACCAGCCCTAGGGGTGATGCAAATGACTGTTAAGTGAAAGATTAAAGATTCGAGTCTAACCAAAGACATTCAAAGGAAAGGCCTTGGCTATCTACTTCCAACAACTAAATCAGCAATTGAAAACTCTATAGAGCACAGTTCTACTCCGGCATACATGGGATCATCATGAGTTAGCATTGGTGGTGGTTATGTGCTGTGGAGTTGGTTCTGACTCACAGTGACCCTGTACGGGGTTTCTGAGGCTATAAATCTTTACGGGAGCAGAGAGCCTCATCTTTCTCCTGCGGAACAGCTGGTAGTTTCGAATTGCTGACCTTGATGTTTGCAGCCCGATTCGTAACCACTACGCTACCAAAGCTCCTTTAGTTAGCATTAACTCTACAGAAACAAGTTTACTGGTTTTACATTTTGTTTTTTGTTGTTAAGTGCTGTGGAGTCAGTTCCTACTCATAGAGAACCTGTATAGGGTTTCCAAGGAGTGACTGATGGGTTTGAACTGTCAACCTTGTAGTTAGCAGTCCAATGCTGATCCTACAGCACCACACCATGTCTTTATCTTTCTAAGTCTAGGCTTTAAGTCCATAAGTTAGAAAACTATTTTCCCTTTCAAGAATGCCATATTTTATACCTTGTTGTTTCTTTAAAATGCTTCCTCTTAAATTTATCCTTCTCTCTCAAACCTCTAAATTTAACACTGTAAACCTAAATGGAGATGGAAGTATGAGGTGCTTTGAATAAGACCACCTATAAGTTGTGAAGGAACGTTACAGCTAACTGCTAGACTCAAGAATGACCAAGTCAGGCTTTCAAATTATCTGGTCATCAGTCCCTATTTTAAGGACTCATTTGGCACTGCAGGATAATGTACTGTTCCTCAAGGTTGGTTTGAACAGCAAGGTTGGCAGTTCAAAGCCACCAGTCGCTCCTTGAAAACCCACTACAGGGTCGATAGGAATTGGAACAAACTCAACAGCACTTAACAACAACAACAACATACATGATACTTGAAATGAAGAGGATAATGATATAAATTATCTTGTCTTTCTTCATTGAATATGAAAAACATTCTATTATGCTTGATTAAGTTGCTTTAATCTTTACAAAGTACATCGCCATCGAATCAATTTCAATTTACATCTACCCTGTAGAATAGAATAGAACTGCCCCATAATGTTTATAAGGCTGTAAATCTTCATGGAAACAGATTGCCACATCTTTCTCCCACAGAGCAGCTTGTGGGTTTGAACTGCTGAACTTTTTGATTAGCAGCCTAGCACATTAACCACCACAGCACCAGGGCTCTTTTGTTCAATCTTTACATCTTAGTGAACATAGATTCAGAGTCCTGGTGTGGCGCTGTCAGCTAATGAGTCCAGGCTGCACAGTCATTTGAACTGCACAGTTGGCGGTTCAAGCTTACCAGCTGCTCCTTGGAAACCCTATACAGTGCCGCTGTGGGTCGGAATAGATTCGATGGCACTTAACAACAACATAGACTGACACCCCCTTTGTTTCTTACTGTTGTTGTAAAAAGTGCCATCAAGTCGGTTTCTACCCATAGTGACCCTGTTTAGGGTTACCAAGGAACAACTGGTGCCCTTGAACCACCAACCTTGCAGTTCAAATGGCTTTGCAGTCTGACACATTAACCCACCAGCGCCACACCAGCACTCCTTGTTTCTTATTTTTTTTGTGTTGAATATTAGTCCTTGTGACACAATTTATTTGTTTTTGTTCAAATATCTAAAAATATATTTTAAAAAAAACTAATTTCTAAATACAAAAACAGTAAATACATGGGGCTTCAAAAATATTCATGGAAAAATTCCATTAAAAGATAAATATAAAAAATAACTAAAAGATAATTCCATTTCCAAGCCCCCCTTTTGTATTTTTTATACACAGTTTAGAAAACAGAAAAATACATTTATCTCTAATTATAATACATACCATCCATACTACATAACTGTATAGAAAAAGTTCATTTTGTTTAAAAACCTACTGTTTTCACTTATTAATAAACTCCTATGACACACATTTGGAGTCCTGGTGTGGCACTGCTGGTTAATGCACTGGACTGCAAAGTCAGTTTGAACCACAAGTTTGGCAGTTCAAGCTCACCGTCAGCTCCTCAGAAATGCTCAGAATCTACTCGACAGCACTTAAAAACAACAATGACACATATTAGGCGTCCTGGAATGGCACTGTGGGCTAAAGCCATAGGATAAGCACTGGACTGCAAGGTCAGTTTGAACCTCAAGGTCAATGGTCAAACTTACCAGCTGCTCCTTGGAAACCCTTTATAGGGTTGCTATGAGTTGGTGGTACTTAATGACAACAACAGTGACACATATAGGAGCCCTAGTGACACAGTGGGTTAGGTTAAGTGTTATGCTGGTTGGTAGTTATGCTGGTTAAAGGTTGGTAGTTCAAATACACCAGCTGCTCTGTAGGAGAAAAATACGGCTGGCTGCTTCTGTATAGATCTGCAGCCTCAGAACCTCTATGGAGCACATCTACTCTGTCCTGTAGCGTTGCTATGAGTCGAAATTAATTAGGTGGCAGTGGGTTATGATACAATATTGTTTACAGTGTCATCAACAATACTTTTCTTTGTATGGCTGTACTATAATTTACTAATAACCTATTATTGGACATTTATATTTTAACCTTTTACTGTTTTCAGTAACAATGTAAAGAGCATACTTATAGTCTGGATTACAGCCTTTGTTAAATTCCTAAAATAAAACTCTTAGATCTACAAAGAAATGAAATTTTAAATATTGAATAAAATAAAAGGTCACATAAACATTCTCTGTGAAAATGTATTAGCAAAATGTATTGATACATTTATTTTTTCCCCTTTATATGTGAATTTAAAGGGGAAAATATTAATTTTTTCCCCTTTAAATGTGAACTAGAAGCAGTTTATAATTATCATTATAAGATGTGTTCGTATTATAAAAGGATCAGTTTATAACCACAACAATAATAGAACCAGAGATTAGTTTGGATTATAAAACTTAAATATTCACTATCACTTTTTGATATGCACTTTAAATAATAGAGGTCCAAATTACACAAAAACTGTTTTACTCATTAATTTTATGGCATTGAAGTCATTAACATTACTTTGAGCTTGTCATGTTTGTTTTATTCTCTACTAGGTAAATCGTGAGTTAAAGAAGTTGCTGGTAGCTTCTGTTGGGGATGATATTCAGTATCACTTTGAACGTCTAGCCCGTGAGAAAAATCAGCTTATCTTAGAAAATGAAGCCCTAAGTCGAAACACAGCTCAGCTTTCTGAACAGTTAGAACGGATGTCAATACAGTGTGATGTGTGGCGAAGTAAATTCCTTGCAAGCAGGTATTTTCTATTTTAAATGATACTTAATTTTCTAGATTTTGCTCTGTATGTTAAGTATTTGACCAGGAACACAACAAAGTAGATTTCAGAGTGAAATTTTTCTGGCTAAGGTTGTCAAAGTATTTCATATTTCAAATGTGGACTGTCCCTCTTCATTGTTAACACCCACATGCCCCACACCATGGAGTTGATTCTGACACATCGCAACCCTTTTTAGTGTTTCTGAGACTGTAAATCTTCCTGGGAACAGACAGACTCATCCATATCCCATGGAGCAGCTAACAAGTTTGAACCAATGTCCTTGTGGTTAGCAGTCCGATGCTTATCTCACAGCACCGCCAGGGTTCCTTTCCTGTTTACACAGTCTCTCTATATGGATAAGTGATAGGATAAGGATCATTCCATAATTTTGGGTTACTTTTGTTGTTATCTCCCATCATGTTGGTATTGACTTATAGCGACCCTATACACAACAGAACAAAGCACTGCCCGGTCCTAGGCCAACCTCACAATCATTGCTATGTCTGAGCCCACTGCTACTGCCACTGTGCCATTCCATCTCGTTGAGGGTCTTCCTCTGTTTCTCCACTTTATCAACATGATATCCTTTTTATCAACATGATATCCTTTGCCAGGGACTGGTCCCTCCTGACAATATGTCCAAACTATGAGAGATGAAATCTAGACATACTGGCTTCCAAGGAACATTCTGGCTATACTTCCAACACAGATTGGTTTGTTATTTTGGCAGTCCATGCATGGTATTTTAATATTCTCCTCCACTATAACTCAAATGCATCAGCTCTTCTACCATCTTCTATATTTACTATACAACTTTCACATACATATGAGGTTACTGAAAATACCATGGCATAGATCAGGCACACCTTAGTCCTCAAACTGACGTCTTTGCTCTTGAACACTTTAAAGAGGTCTTGTGCTGCAGATTTGCCTAATGCAATATGTTGTTCGATTTCTTGACTGCTACTTCCATGAGTGTTGATGGTTAATCCAAGCAAAATGAAGTCTTTGTCAACTTCATTTCTTTTCTCCATGTATCTGTTGGTCCAGTGGTGAGGATTTTTGTTTTCTTGACATTGAGATACAATCCATACCAAAGGCTGTGCTCTTCATCAGTAAATATTTTAAGTCTTCTTCACTCTCAGCAAGAAAGGTTGTATC